ATGACTGAGTGCATTGCAACTTTTGAGAGAACCAGATCCGAGTTACCAAACGTTGCAGGTGCTATAGATGGGACACATATCCCAATCATCGCGCCCAGAGAAGATGCAGTTGACTATTTTAGTCGTTACCAGCAGCATGATATGATTGTTCAAGGGATTGTAGATGGTACTGAGAAATTCATTGACGCAGTTGCAGGATTCCCTGGGAGTGCTCATGATGCAAGGGTTTTAAGAAACAGTAACATTTACCAAGAGGCTGAACAGGGAAACATTCTACAGGCTCCACGGATAGATATTGATGGGAATGATATAGGTCCATACCTAGTTGGAGATAGTGCTTATCCGGCTTAGATATCATAAAGCCATTTCCAGAGGGAACAAATGATCCCGATAAAAAAACCTTCAACAAAGAGCTAAGCAGGGCAAGAGTTGTTGTAGAGCGTGCCTTTGGAATTTTAAAGGGACGTTGGAGAGTGCTACAAAAACGCCTAGACAGCTCCCTCAATTTTGCCATCAAGATTACTATTGCATGCATTGTTCTTCATAATTTTGTATAGAAGCTAACGATGACTGGGATGATGACGACGACGACGGCCCACCCAACAACGATGGAAACAATAATGTAGTTGCTGGAGATGCCGATGAAATAAGGGGTGCACTAAAGGACTTTGTCTGCGGCAACGTATAGATAGCTCAAAAACAGTTTATTTTTTATTTGATTTACAAAATTAAAAAGTTAAGTATGATTGTACTTCTGTCTATTTTTTCAAACTCGATCGCCACTTGTCTCGTGATTTCTGATGCTTAATAACACGAAACTTTGATATTCCATTATGCTAAAATGTGCCCAATCATTCAAACATGTCGCTATAATCAGTTTATTTTGAATCGTTTCATGGAATCATCTGATATTTGAAAATAAAACTCACTGTACTTTAAAATAATAATGATCATATTACGTATCAATGTGTAATGACAAGAAATCACTGCATTAAATCGCATTTTAACAGTAACAAAATAATAGTTTGTGTGTTCAATTCATTATTCAGACAGTTCATTCAGTTCATTCCTTTTTATTATTTTCCATATACTTATTAAAACAGCCAACAAGTTGGGACATGAGCTGAATTTGCAGTCCTTGCGAATCTTGCATCCGCTCCATAAAACTAGCCATTTGTTCCCCTTCAGTGGCAAGCTTTTTGATGGCCTCGCCAATTGTATCATCTTCGCTGTTGCTGTCGTGCACGCGAGCAGGCCGCTTTTGACCCTTTACTTTTTTTCTTTCGCGTCTTCTTGCCACTGAACTACCAGCGGTTGTAGGGGTGGTGCGACCAGCCGAACTGGAACTGCTTGACGCTTCAGCAGCACTTGTTTCTGGACTATTTGCCGAGCTTCCACTGCTTTCTGCAGCCTGCGTGCCAGCTTGCTCCACGTTGTTTCACGTGATGATATCACGGCAGCCAAGGACAGAATCAATTATGTCGTAATGAGGACTTTTGCGCAAATTTCCCCCACTTTGCCGACGATTTCAGTCCTTCTTTTCTTTGTACTGGTTCTTCAAATGCTTAACTTTGCGCTGGCACTGGTCGACGTTTTTCTTTAGGCCTTGTCTTTCGTTCAGCGCCTTGCAAATTTCCTCCCTGGCTTTGCGGTTATCTTTGCTTTCCACTTTTTCAATATTGTCAGCCCAAAGCTGCAATAGAACTTTTTCGTCGGCGAAACTCCATCTCTCCCTTTGATTGGACTTCTTTGCTTCACCTGAGGCAGATGAAGGGACTGGTGATGGTTGGATTGGCTGGTGATGTTCAAAAGCCTGGTCAAAAGACGGCTGCGAGCTCGAGGTCGAAGTCGATGGCTGCGAGTCTTGGGAAAAAATCTGCGAGCCAAAGGGTACGAACAATCCATCCCCATACTGCGAATAATCAGGTGAATAACGTAAATTCGTAAACTGGTATGGGTTGAAATTCGCCATAATAAAACGTTTGAAGAGAAAACCGGTGACTAAAATTTTAACCCGATAGCTGTAGCTAGCAGTGCACACGTGTTGTCTTTGCAGAATTGCAAAACTCCAATTTTTGCCCGTATTTCAGATTGATTGACGTTGACGACAGAAGAAAAACAAAAAATTGTCATTTTAAGGCCATTAGACAAGATATGACCTGCTTTGAGGCAGGACATCGGCTTGTTTGACCTTTATGATGACCAGTTATGTCTGGGCGCGACAAAAGGGTCGCACTTGTCGCAAGCATGCGATGACAGATTTTATGTCCAATGTAAACACCAAAAGCACTAGTGCGACCCCTGCCTAAGTTCCTTTAATTTCTTCTCTATTTTATAATTGTTTGGCATCTGTTTTGTTTTCGTGGCCAACTCACGCCAAGCCTCATTTGAAATGTTGAATCTATCTTTAATATAGATCCACATATTACCGTCATCCAAATTTTCATCTGTCAGCTCCGTTGAGTCATTGTCCTTTTTTAGTGGAAGCTCGTTTTGATCAATCAAGGAAAATGTATAGTACTGTTGAGTTTCGCCATTGAAAACTTCTACTTTTGTGGCAATAAAATCATACAATCCAAGGAAGGATAGTGTTGCCTGACAGTTTTCCTTCATCTGTTGTCGAAGACGTGACTGATGCGGTTTCGTATAATCGGTGAATTTTTTCTTTTTGTCCGGCCCTCTCTTTCCATCTCTCTGCAGTTTTGCAATTTTACGCGCTAGAATCTTAAATTTCTTTTTGTGGTTTTTTTCTTTCTTCTCTGTCTTCTTAAGTACCTGTTCGAGTCACTCTTCTACCTTTAGCCTTTTCGCCTGTTCATCTGCAAGGGATGCTTCCAGCTTTCTCTTTTGTCCACGCAAAGCCCTGTTCTCCTGGTGTAGCTGACATGCTTCAATTTCATTATAAAATACCTTGAATGAGTACGTTTCTTTCTGTCATTTTTCTTCAGGCTTCTTGACATGGCGACCGCCTTTTTGACCAGCTCTCTTCAATGCCGAGAGAAAAAGCGAAATTATCTTGAAGACATTAATAATACGACTGTTGATGATTACACCTCTTAGCGCAGACTCTTCAAGCGGACTCGGTACTTAAGTCGTCTATTTTCCCTTCTAGTTCTAGTTCCTTACAGACTGTTTAGATGAGGTAGCTACAAAACAAGACGGAAAGGCTCTTTAACACAATGAATCTTTGAATAAATTAACGAAGCTTGAATGGATACTTTCTTGTTTATTTCGTACGTAAATGAAGGGACATCTCCGGGTTCTGCTCGCTCGAATTCCTCATCTATCGCACTCGCGCTGTTTACAAAGGTTAGTAGCAGAAACAGAACCAAAGCGTGGACTTTAAGGGAAGGTACGTTTTTTCTTGGGGGGGGGAGGGCTGGGGCCTCAGAGGGTAGGGTCATCAGTGAAAGTGAGCACCAAAGGGGGAGGGCTATACCCTCTTTTTCAGCTATTCAAGGGGAGTCACACCTTTTCCAGAATTTTTAATGGGGATTTTTGTGATGTTATTTTCCATTTTTCTTTAACAGACTAAGTTTTTTCTTTTCAACTTGTTTCTTTTGATTCGGTGCAGGTACTAGTTTTACAAGGTTACTGGGTGTCTACATGTATATTATTCCATGGCACATAATTTTCTCGGAGTACTCGTGTCCTTTTCCGTCCGTATCGTGACGTACTTGACTCGGGTATGGTTTCTTGTTCCAGCTGTTGTCTATCTGCTGCCTGATCTCCTGAGTCATTAAGCTTTGAAGAGTTACTAGAAGATCCAACAATGCCCTCTACCCTGTCGTTGTCACTGTCACTGTCGGACTCTGGATTTGAGTCAGAGGCTAGCGGAATGTTTGTCTGTTTTTCCTGCACAATTGAAGTCAAAATCTTACTGCCAATATGAGCCTTCACAACCCTCATCTCCAAATCTCCATGATCTATTACATAGTCTTCGTCATTCAGAGTTTCTTCATCAACGTTTAAAAATTCTTGTTTTAATTGACTTTTCATTTTCTGCGTAGCGTTGGCATTTGCGTTTATTGGCTTTACGGCGATACTGCTTCTGCTTTCTCGACTTTCTTTTGAGAGCATTTCCTCGGCGAGGGAAAATTCTTTCAACTCGTTTTTTAGCCTTTTGTAGTAGCTCCAAAGCAAAATACAACAAGCAAAATGTCGAAAAATGTTCTGAGGTTTCTATGGCATGGAGCATACCATGTGGTAGTGAGGGGAGGGTCACACTTTTGTCAGTCACCTAAAAGTGGGGGGTCAGGAGTTTTTTAATCAAAACATGAGGGAGGGCCAACACTTTCTTTTGGAAAAAATACCAAAATTCCCCAGCCCCCCCCCAAGAAAAAGCGTACCTTCCCTAAGGCCCATTTGCCAGGCCGAAACTTAACCGTACCCTAATAAATTATACATCAAAATGCGCCGAATTTATTATTCTTTTCGAATTTGGCGGTAACGCGTAGATGAGAGCATGAGTTGTACAAACCTCGGCCCAGAGTCTTTCCCCAATCTCGAAAAATGAAGTCAAAGCTTCATAAAATATCGCAAGTCAGCAACACGAAATATTTATTTGCCAGCACAAGATTATTGTTTACCGGTATAATTTTCACCTCTACGTAAAGCCTAAAGATTTTACTTTTATAATCTGGAGGTAACAGAACGATAACGTTCTTTAAACGAAAGAGAGAGAGCGAAATCCTCTAAAATTCGCAGATTCTTTAGTCAGTCGGGTCACAGCGGATGTCACGCAATATCCGATAGAGCCTTTTGTTAAGCGTGACTTTCATATGTCTACTTTGGCCCCCTTAAACTTGGCATGTAATGGATCAATTTGACACATTTTGTTTAGCTCATTATTCACAACTGTGTTAGGCTGGATCTCTCTCTGTCTGAACTCTAAAACTTCATTTGGGATCCGTATTTGGGGGTAAAACAGTCCTTGGAGTATTCTTTAACTCATCCCATGGCACAATGTAGGGATCAGGGACTGGTGATAAGTCTGAGTTGGCTTTCCGGAGAATAACCGTGCACCCCAGCCATTGCTCGGTCTCTCGGTCTCGGTTACAAGCTTTTGACTTTAAACCGATTCGTTCGAGAAAGAGACAAGAAATAAAAGTTTGAGAGAAAAGTTGATTTGGAGTTAGACCATAAGCTTAGGGTTAGGGTTAAAATTAATTAATTCAATATTTTAAAAAGGGAATAAAAATAAATCCATTGGTGTAATCATTCTCCTTCAAAAACAGGAAAGCTGAAATAGAATATTAACTGAGAAGAGCAAGAATGCCGAGGTGATGTCCCTGATCCAGTAGTGATGTCTCGCAAACGCAATAATTCAGATGGGAGCCTCAAAAAAGCGGAACCAACCAAAGGGCTGCGAAAGGGGATATTGAGGGCTCCAACACATTGAGGGAGAGGATAATACATCCCATGAGAACCGTCAGCTGGATGCAATCAGAAGCAGAGAAAAGAGGTATCCCTTGTTGACTCGAAAGATGGACCTCACGTATTATACCTGACTAAACAATCAGTTCCACTACTTGAGATCAAGGGTAAATACCCTTTT